TTTCTTTCTTTCTTTCTTTCTTTCTTTCTTTCTTTCTTTCTTTCTTTCTTTCTTTCTTTCTTCCTTCCTTCCTTCCTTCCTTCCTTCCTTCCTTTCTCTCTCTCTCTCTCTCTCTCTCTCTCTCTCTCTCTTTCTCTTTTTGAGACAGGGTTTCTTTGTGTGTAGTCCTGATTGTCCTGGAGCTTGATTTGAAAACCATGTTTACCCTTAAACTCACAGAGATCTGCCTGCTGCTGCCTCCCAAGTGCTGAGACTAAAGGTGTGTGGCTTCCTCTTCCTCTTTTCATCTTTCTTCTTTTGGTGCTGGAGATTGAACCCAGGGCCTCATGTGTGCTAACCACAGTGTCATCAAGATATATCTTTAACTCTTTTCTTCTTTTCTCTCTGAAAAAGAATACTTTGTGTGCATGTGTGTGACTCTCTGTGTATGTGTGTGTGCATGTGTCTGTGTTTGTGCATGTCCACATGAGAGAGTAGATGCATTACAGAAGGCATCTGGAGGTCTGAGGACAACTTTGTAGGGTAAATTCATCATTTTGATGTACACAATTCAGTGTATACATTTGTAGCATATTTATAAGAAGCTTTAACCATCATTGTTTGTTGAGAACATTTTCTAGACTCCAGAAAGAACCCCTGTTCCTGTTGGCAGTCATTCCAGCCCCCTGGTTAACAGAGTTATGTACTTTGTGTCTGTATGGATTGCTATCTGAACATTTCAGATAAACAGAAAGTATAAATGTGGCCTTAAATTGGGCATAATAGGCCATGCTTGAATTCCTCATACTTGGGAAGCAGAGCATAAGGGCTATGACTCCAAGGCCAGCATAGACTACTAGCAAGTTTGAGACCAGTTTTGAAACCTTGTCTCAAAGAGAAAAAAGTGGCCATTTAAAGTTTTCTGTTTTTCAGTTAGTGTAGTGTTTTTGAGTTCATCCACACTGCAGCATTTATAATTACATTTCATGGTTAAATAACATCCCATTGCATGTAGACAGCACATTTACTCATCCATCCATCCATCCATCCATCCATCCATCCATCCATCCATCCAGAAATGAGCATTTGAGTATTTCACATCTTTTGATATTATTCATATAACTGCTATTAATGTTCACAGTTTGAGCATTTGCTTTTTAGTCTTTAAGTATAACTAGGAGTGGAACTGGTGGTCAGTATGCTAACTCTCTGTTTAATTTTTGAGGACTAGCCAACCTTCTATCCAAAAGTAATGGAAGTGTTTTTTTTTTCTTTAAATTTCTACCAGCAATGCTTAAGGTTTATGTTTTTTAAACTGTATTTTACTATTGGTTATAAAGTTTTTAATTAGGAAAAAAATATGTGTTTTATAAAAAGCAAACTATCTCTCAGGCTTAGGTGTGGGACAGACTATACTAGGTGATCAGAGCAGTAACAGCAGTAGTGAGGCAAGTTTTGGTGTGGTACTTGATGATGGTAGCATGGAATGGGATAGCAGAAGAAACACAGGTGGGTTATGTTCTTGAGGCAAAAGCAGTAGGGAGTTCTTTCTGTGTTGGAAAAAGGAAGGAAGGAGTTAGGTATGATTTCAGGCTGGGCCTGATGGCACATTCCTGTGACTCCAGTCTTTGGGATGCTGAGGCAGGAAAGTCAGTCACCAATTTGAGGCCAACCAGGGTGTGCTGGTTTTATGTCAACTTGACAGAAGCTAGAGTCATCAGAGATGAGAGAATGCCTCCAAAAAGATCAGGATGTATACAAGCCTGGAGGGCCCTTTCTTAATTAGTGATTGATAGGGGGAGGTCCAGTTCATTGTGGGTTGGGCCACCCCGGGCCCTATAAGAAAGCAGGTTGAGCAAGTTAGGAGGAGCAATCCAGTAGGCAGCACTCCTCAGTGGCCTCTGCATCAGCTCCTGCCTCCAGATAACTGCCTTGTTCGTGTTCCTGCCATGACTTCTCAGTGATGGACGATTACCTGGAAGTGTAAGTGAAATAAATAGTCCCCTCCCTCCAAGCTGCTTTTGGTTGTGGTGTATCATCATGATAACCCTAAGTCATAGGGTGATACAGTAAATTTGTTACAAAAAGAAAACAAACAGAAAAACTCAGAAAACAACAAGGAGAGTAATGTCTAGGAACCTTAAAAGAAGGTGGGTTTTGCAGCTCTTTGCCTCAGTGGATTGTCCAGAGAAGGCACTGGCCTGTTTAGAAATCAAGAATTTAGATTTGGGCAAAGAACTGAGGGCAGTCAGGCAATCTGACCTCAATTTTCTAGGGTACAACCCCTTACTTTGAAGTTAGCCCAATCGTAGGCTCTACTTACTTTATCTGATCTCATGGCACACATGGTGTCCAGGCATAGAGGTCTACCTGGTATAGATATTATCAGGATTCAGACCTGTGAAAAGTAGCTGAGGCGCCTATTTAACTTAACAAAGCAGATCTTGTCTCCAGGTTCTCCCAGCATTCCTCAGACCCTACCTGAACTTTCCAGCCTAGGAGCTGGGCTTCCACTCCCCCAGAGGCTCTTCACTAGATATCCAGACGTTTTGGTTCTCCTTCCCTCTCCCCACACTCTCTCTTTCCCTCCTTCCCTCCCTCTCTCCTCTCTGCATTTTTTTTTCTCTCTCTCTGCTTGTGCTTTCTCTTTCCCCTTCCCCCTGTCTCACTCTGCGTGGTAACTTCCCTGGCCTCATTCCTTGGGACTGGTGAACGTGCCTGAGAGCTGCCCCCAATAAATCTGCCATTATACTTTAATTTGGCTTGAATTGGCTCATTTTGTAGGTGGAGAATACCTATCAGCCATGTCAGCTATATTAACACGGGCCATCTTGTGCATGTTTCTGAGTTCTTAGCATTTTCTAGTCTACTTGTATTGACTTGGTTTCTTTGCTCTTCTTTTTCTTTGTCTAAGTGCATATATGTTTAAATATTTGTGTATGTACAGGTGCATGTATGAGGTGCTTGTGTAACTGTGTGCATGCGTGTTTAGGTCAGAGGAGAACCTTGAGTGTTGTTCCTGAGGTACTGTTCATGTATCTTTTTCTTTTTTTTTGAGGAAGTCTCTCATTAGCCTGGACACAACAAGTAAGTTCAGCTGGCTACTAAGAAATTCACCTGACAAGTCTATACAACCCTATCTATCAGCTAGCTTTCCTCTTTCCTCTCTCTCTCTCTCTCATTCTCAATAGAAAGCTATAATACAGGCATTTCACTAACTGGAATATCCTCCAAGCCATTACCGTCTTGTCTTTTCACTCAGGGTCACATGGCTAGGAGTGTACTTACTGACCTGGGACTTTTCTGCATGGTGTGTGGCGGTCTCAGGCTCTCGCCTGCTCTGAGCTGTCTCATGTTGTGTGCTTGAACTGTGCTCCTCCATTTTCAGCATAGGGAGTTTGGGTTCCAGCCTGGGTTTGGCTTTGATTCATAAGAAAGCATTTAGAGTTGGAGAGTGTGTTAGCTTGCCGTCACTGTAACAGGTGGAGCATCTTAAGTGGGGAAGGGGTTCCTATAAGCTCAGCGTTAGAGGACCCAGGCTGTGACCTCTTGCTCTTTTGGTTTTCAGGGCTGTGAAGAGCAGGGTGTGGTCGTGGGAAGCAAGTGCTCACATTGACCCAAAGAACTACCTCTCAGCACCGCTTCTTAAAGTAGCACCTCCCAATAGCACCAGGTGGGCAGCAAGGCTCTACCACCTGAGCCTTTGTGAGGCACTCCAGATCCAAAGTAAGACAGGGAGGTGAGGGCAGAAAGGTTTAATCATTGTCACCATTGTCTCTCAGAGCGCCAGACAACATTGGATTTTGATGTCTCATATTATTGTTCATCCCCAAGTAAGAAGGTCTTTGCATGCGCATGAACATATACCAGAGTTGAGGCATGAGTCATCTTTTGCTTTTGCATGAAGGGAATGTTTATTAAGGAGCTGATTACAACAATGCCCATTTCCTCCAATTACTCTTCTTTTGCTCTTGTCACTCAAGGCAGAGGACCCTGAGCATGCTGAGACTACTGCTAATGTTCCCTTAATCATAAGGATGGGGGTTGAAAGGGTCATGGAAAACATTCACAGGGGTTTTGCTGTCATTCAGTACTTTATCTGGCTTCAGTAGTGCTGGGTTCAGTTTGCTGCCTGAAGGTCGTTCTGAGGGGAGAGAAAGACATTAGTTACTGCCTTTAACCCCGGAAGCTGACCGCAGGCTTGATAGATGCTAACCCATTCACCCCTATCAGATCACCATAGCACTGCCTCAGGGATGGGAAGAGAACATCTTCCGGGGAGCACCTAGAGAGTTTAGACAAGGGTAGAAGGACTTTAAGGGGAGTCCTCTGGCAGGCAGGCATCCTTCCAGAGACAGCAGATGTATGACACTGACTCAGGGGGCAGGAGATCCTGCGTGAAGCTCCTGCTGGCGCTGGCACCACGCTGGCTGTTTAGTGACTCTACTATTACTGCTAGCACACAACCTTCTGGGCTTGTTGTCACTGTAGTTGTGGCTCAGATGTCATTCATCTGATCTGTTCCCCTGATCAAGGCTGGGTAATGGTAATGGCCCCTCATAGGGCCAGTATAAAAGAATGGGAGTATGAAAAGCCACCCTGAACAATTGTTCTTTTAGTCCAACCCTCTAAGAATTGATTTGGGCTCAGCTGCAGAGAAGTATGGGGTCAAGGACAATTTAAGTCATATGAGAGAAGCCAATGTTTCCTGGGTCACATTTCACACTGATTGTACACGTAGATCAAGAATATATGTAAGGTTCCGGATTTGAAGCAAACTAAGGAAGGCAAAACAATGAAACAAAGAAACAAGGAAAAGAGTTGAATTTCAGTTTCTTACTGATTTCAGTGAGTTGACAGTGGCATTCTTTAAAGGAAGTGAAGACACTCCGACTGGAAGATTCATCTTCTTGTAGTAGTCTGAAGTAAGGAAATACCATCTTGTGACGGGAGTTAAGAGGAATGGTAACTTGGGTGGCTTGTCTGGCCACGGTCACATGTGTGATCTGTGACCTGTAAGTGGCCCTAAGAGGTGTCATTGCCACATGCATTCAACATGGTGGCATGAATACTGTACATCCCAGTCTACAGGATGAGGGCAAGATATGGTTTATGAGAAGAGAGGCCCCAAAAGCAGGTGGGGATCTGGCGGTCCCCTAACCCTGATGACAATGTCGCAGAACCTCATTACAGGATCTGCCTGGAGTGGCGTAATCATCTGATGGTCAGTACACTATTTGGAGCTACAATAGAGCTGACCAGGAATGTACATACTTGGCATGTGGCACCATCGTCATGGTTGTCCAACAAGATTATGACAAACACTTTGAGTGTCTACAGGGGTGGGTGACCCAGGTCCACTATTGAGCTGTCTACCCCGATGGTCTTGGTTCAAGACACATATGGACAAAGACTTCTTGGGAGCTGCAGGGGAGGCAATTTGATCTGTGTCCCCTTTTTACCGCCACATGCTGTCATGTATGCAGCGAGAAGGTGATGTACAACCCAGCGTATGACAGGGTGGCCTTGTGCTTGGTGCTTTAGTGCCCTCCATGTGTCCTCCCCCTGCACCTCTGATGGACACTGACTGTGCTGGCAGTCAGAGTTATTCATTCCACATACCAATGATACCAGACCAGGTCTTATTTACGAGTTGAGATAGAGTGTCTTCCACCTCGTTCCTCTGTAAGACATGGGAGGACATTTTCAGTGGAGCCTTGCAGTCATCTGCTTGGTCCCAAGGCCTACGAGCATTAGCTCAGATTGCTGGTTCCTGTGGGATTTCTCTGACAGGTCTGACACATGTAAGGGCAAATGTGGGGTTGGATCTTCATGTATCCTCAGGGCTCTTGTCTTTGGGAGTGTTTGGGCCCCAGTTGGGTTCTGTTGACTGTGTGGCTCCTTGGGCAGAGGCATTGGTCAATGCCACCTTGCTGGTCATTATCAGCCTGCTACAGGGACAGGCTTTGGGACTTCAGGAACAACTTGGAGGCCAAAGGAAGAAGGGCTGGCAGTGGCTGGTCACTGCTGCCTGCTCTGAGGTGGGTCTGGGTCTTTCCCTTCTTTCTGCTCCCATCTCTCTCTTGTGACCCTCTTGTGAGAGCAGGTGGTGTTACTTCTGCTCCTCTGCTTGCTTACTGAGATCGGCGGACCATCCTACTGTCTCCACAGAGTGGACACTCCTCAAACTCTCCCCTTTAATGCTCAGGGGACAACTGCTTGCATAAACGACTGTGTCCCCTGTCATATGAGTAGCTGTATGAGGTCAGGGGCCAATCCTACCCAGTCCTTTTCACTGAGCTGCAGCCTGGACCATCCTGTGAGGTCCCTGCTAAGGAGAGATGGAGGGATTGCTGGGCTTGGAGTGACCCTAGAGTCTGCTGCTCAGCTGACCCCCAGTATCTCAGGCTGCTAAAGGGACACGTTTCCCAACCCCATCCCTGGACCCCCACTGCAGACCTGTGGGTCTCTCTCCTGTATGTGGCACCAGCCTTCCAGTACCCTTTTTCTGCCCTTTATGTGTCTGTTTGTATGCTCTTTGTAGCTCCCCTCCTCCGTTGACATCAGTTGGTTATGGGCAAATGTGATTTAAGAGCTCCCCAGAGAGTCAGTTAGGAGGCTACAGTTGTGTTACATAGTATGCGTGTGCTCTAGTCCCCATGGGCCTCTCTGACCCCAGTCCCGCCTCACTGAATGTCTGGCATTGATGATTTCCCACCTATCACAGGTCAATATACAAGGGCACATCAACTTACATACTCCTCGGGCTTCACACTGTTCTGAAAGCTGTCAGCAAAAAAGTACAGAGAAACATGAGGTTTGTAAGAGTGGAACTACTCAAGCTTAGAGTTCAAGTCTTACATCAATTGATTTTGGAAATCATGGAAGCCTAGATTCCCGATTCCTATAATGACTCCAATATTACCAGCCCAGACCCAGAACCTTATTGCCCCTGCATGATTCACAGGGTCTATTGTTGTACCTTATGAGTTTGAGGTCTGGTGACACTTTGTAACCTGAAATCTTGCTGTTATGAGAGATGATTAATTTCTGAAATGACACAAGGGAGCATGAGTGAAACATGAGGCCATGGACTTTCTCTTTGCTGTGGGGACACCAAGGCATAATGGGCCTCATGCTTTTGGGAATATTTCATCCCACGTATCCACTCCCTTGGCCTTCTAACACCCCAGCCAACCTTCAATTCTCAGCGCTCACCGTTTTCCCATTGGCAAAATTTCTACCGTCCCTTTTTATGGTAAAGTCATATGTGATGGTGAGGGTTTTGTTTTCCAGGAACTTATACTTGACATGGTCGAACTTTGCTTTCAGGTCATTCATCTGTTGTAAAGGAGATCTCAGTTAGTGTGGGGAAGAGGATGGGAGGGGCTGTGTTATGACTCAGGCATGCATCCTTCTGTCTTGGTTGGGATATTGCACTTGTTCTTGTAGGCTTCCTCACCCAACTGGGGCTGGTGCAGCTGAGAAAAGAAAGGAAATGCCCGTTTCCATCCCTTGTCTCAGTTTGCTCCAGTGTATGGATGTTGGGACAGAGAACTTGTGACATGTTGCTTTCTACCAAGCCTTTCAAAGTAGAAGTGTGTTTCTCTGCCCTTGTGTCTCAAAAGCTCTCTGCTGACCACTTGTGGACTCTGTGGTGAAGATGCTTGCATGCTGTTTTGCCCGATCATGGGACCTAGAGAAGTGGATGGCACACCCGTAGTGTTTATGGGTTTCTGAGATGCATAAATCCCTCCTACCTCCACTTCCTGTGCGTGCTCTTTGTGCCCCAGCCTCCTCACTAAGGACGGTGTTCTTATCAGTCTCTGCAAGAATCTTCAGGTATCATTTGTTTCACCACCTTCTCCCTCAGAAGTGACACAGGCAGCGGACCTCCAGAGTATTATGGCTCTGGGGCTGATGAAGGACACTCACCTGGACAGAGCTGTTCTCAGCCACGAATTTCAGAAGCATTGTCACCATCGAGGAGGAAATAGTTAAAGCAATGCTGGCATTTTTGGGATTTGGACACAGAGGAGTTCCAATCACAGGTTCTGCTTTTTGGCTGAAATTGCCTTTAACCTAAGAAGAGGAAATCAGAGAAACATCTGTGTGAGTTCATGGGACTGTTACCAGCGTGAAGGCTTTGTGGCCTGGCTGTCACAGTGCAGGGTATAGAGGCCTTAGCTTCAGTGGTCATGTAGCAAGGCTCAGGGTAGTCAGGCTTTCTAAGAGGCCACAAACCCCAGATGAAGGTGTATCCCTATTATGATGGATTTCATGGAGGTGTGTGTGTGTGTGTGTGTGTGTGTGTGTGTGTGTGTGTGTGCATTTAATAGTCATGTCCTTTCCTTGTCATAGTTCCACAGACCTGAGGGCCATTCTCCCGTGTGCCTCTCTTGTTTTCTTCCCTCCCTGTTCCTTCCTTCCCACGTTTCATGAAACATCATATGAGGAATACATTCTTAAATGTTCTGGCTGTTTTTGGGTATTCTGTCCCTTCTCCCAGCCTCCCTCTGTTTCATGCTTTCTTTCTGTCTGAGTTCTCACCTCATATTTCTGAAGTATAATCTCTTTTTGGAGGGCATGTTGTAACATCCCCAGAGGAACACAGAGAAGAGAGACTTAAGCCTAACATCACTGGTGTTTTCATGTTTTGTGTATACCTCCTTTAGTTTTTAACATGACTTTAAAGTGCTTCATACTATCTGCAAAGCATGGCTGTTTCCACATCTGAAGTGTGTAGAAAGATCTGGCGTCAGCTATGTCCTATGTGTGTGTTGAAGATTGATGAACTTCATCCGTTATTATGAGTTTTTCGTGTTTCAGCATGTCAGCAGAGCTCTTGTGATGACTCTCCTGAAGAGAAGGTCAGTTAACCATGTCTCCTTCTTTATCACTTGTCACAGCCTGGTTTTGTCTTATAGGTTGGGTCGTGGGTAGTTGGAAGGATCTGACACATTTTGTTTTGTTGTGTATGGTTCACTGAGAGTGGAGATGTGAGCTGGGTGAAGTTATGGCTCTCTCTATTGGAGTGCTTCAAGGCCATTATCCTGTTGACTTGAAGAGAAAAGAGCACAAGGCTGACCATGACCCAGATGGACACTCAGGAGACTGATTCCAGGAAAAAGCTGACAGGGCTAAAGAGAGCTGATTGTTTTACTGCCCTGATCTTCTGATTCTCTCTCTCTCTCTCTCTCTTTGTGGGCTCAGGTATGCTTCCAGCCTTCATCCCATTGCCATCACAAAGACAGTGAATACTTACACAGTAGAGGATGGTAAGTCCTTCGGGAGAGATCCTGGGAGTTCGGATTGTGTACGAGAACAAACCGGTAGCTGCAGAGGAGACTAGGGGGAAGGATGGAGAGAGCTCAGACAGCCACTAATATCTGCTGTGCCTCAAGCTCTGTAGCTCTGGTTCCCCTCTGAGACACCAGCATGGACAGCTGCTTCTGTCTGCCTGCCAGACATGAGGTAGAGCCCGTAGGGGCTTCCACATCTCAAAGGAGGCTATGAGCTTGCTGTTTACCAGCAAGGATAAACTTGGAGGGGGAAAGTCTGGCTAACTGGACTTTGTATTTTGTCTACTCTATCCCCAGTTTCTTACTTCACTTCTCCAGGTGATTCAAACCAGTGTGTCCTAGAACCTATGACCCATGGCATGTTTTTTTTTTTTTTTTTAGATTTATTTATTATTATACAGTATTCTGTCTGCATGTGTGCTTGCATGCCAGATGAGGGCACCAGATCTCATTATAGATGGTTGTGAGCCACCATGCGGTTGATTAGGAATTGAACTCAGGACCTTTGGAAGAACAGCCAGTGCTCTTAACCTCTGAGCCATCTCTCTAGCCCCCCGTGGCATGTTTTTAGGAATGTTGTGAGATCTCCTGATCTCAAACCCCCAGAGATGAGTGCCTGCTCTCGATTCAGGCTCTATGCAGTGTTGCGTTTGAAAGCTGGTTGGGTCGGAAAGGTCCATGCAGACCCTCAGAGGCACTATGTCCTCTTGTCTTCCATGTGTCAGAAGCCATACATTGAGGACAAGGTCAGGTGGGCCATTCTCTTCCCAAAGTGTGTGGAGGAGGTAGTGGGGTTTTGTAGTTTTGGAGCACAATTTCCCATAGGCCCATCCTCTGTGGTGTGTCACCCTCTGAGACTCCCCGAGGCTCTGGGCTATCTCTGTCTCCTGACAAGGGAGCTCCAAGGAAGTACTCACTGTTCTTGCAGTCATTGAAGCCACTGAGGTCGATGCCACAGGAGGTGGATTCCTCCAGCTGTGAAGTCACACAGGGAAGCTTAGCTGAGGGAGCATCAGCCTCCTGTCCTGTCACACACCTCCCTCCTCCCATCTCCCCTTGGCTTTCCCCTCTCCTGTGCCATCTCCCTGGCCTCTTTTGGTCAGAAGTCACCCATATGTCATGTTTTGTAGTTCTGCTATCAGATGGTATGGTCCAGAGAAGCTGCTTGTCCATGGTGGCCCTTGGGCTCCTGAGGACCCTGGCCTTGTTCCAAAATCTCTCCTGGCATCAGGCTATTTACAGGCTTCAAGCTTCTCTCTCCCCTCATTCTCCCAGTGATTTCAGGCTATGAGAGATCCCTAGTCCTCCCCTGGACTTACGTTCTCATTTATCTTTATTGTCAGCAGCATAGGGAGGATGTCATTCAAGTCTAAAGGCACAGGCAGCGGCACACTTTCTTCGAGTCTGTGAAAGATATATACGACATGTTGAAATAAGTGATCCTCGTGTTTCCAGATTTGTCCTTGTCTTAGACAAAGCATCTCACTGATGAGAGCGTCACAGTGATGCCTGGCTTCTCAGTGTGTGGGTGACCTGAGCTCTTGGCTTAGTCTCTAGTCTTTAAAAAAGATACGAAGATGCCTGGCCAAAGCCCAGGGCACATGGCCCAGAGGTCCCCCTGAGCACTGCATCCTTCAGCTCCTGGGACACATTTGTTCACAGACTGTCTGTGGTCTTGGGGTAGTTGTGGATTGGAATTCACAACAGTGTAAGCTCCAGCTAAAGAAATTCTACTGAATCCTCCCCAGGGCATAGTAGAGGGAAGTAAAGAGGTGAAAGCTGGGTTTGGGCAGGTGACAAGTATGTCCAGCTTTGTCAGTGTGAACCTAATTCAGAAGGGCCCGGATGCTGTGGTTGGTCTAGGGAGGAAAAGTAGGCCACTGACCCACAGAATTTCCAGAGAGATTTTCACTGTGTGGCCTCATGGTTCTTTGTTCCATTTTGACTCAGGTCAGTGTACTGTTTAGGGAAGATATAAAATGAGCCACTAACATAGAGTCAGGAGGAAAGATGTGCTATAGGTATGAGAAGGCTGTTCTTAAAAAAAGAAGGATGATGTTAGTCAGTTCCCTGACTAACCTTCTCACACCTTTACCTATAAGTGTGAGAAGGCTGTTCTTAAAGAAAGAAGGATGATGTTAGTCAGTTCCCTGACATTTACTGATTGTGTAGGGTACTATGGTGGGGCATTTCGCCTCTGAGACAACAGCGGACCTTCTGACACACTTCTGAATTGACCCAGTAGTGAGGAAAAAGATTTACGTACGTTTCTACTAACTGAATGCTCAATGTGTTGACCTGGATATGGGTGTCTTGGACATCAAGAGTGACACATTTGGTGTTGTTGGAGGAAATACCAATTTTTATCATCACAGTCATCTTGGATTGTAGTTGCAGTAAGGAGATGACAGGTCCAAGCAGGCTGTGGGGAAGAAGGTGAGGGAGAGTGAAGTGCTGCCAGAGAAGTAGGGCTCCAGCAGAGGGACAGGCATTCAAGAATGAGCCCCATGTTTGATCGATGGTCATCCTCTAGAGGGACAGACTGAGCTTCCCAGTCTGCATGCTCCTAGGGCCTCAGTCCCATGCCACAGAATGAAGAGCCTGGTCATTTTTGTCTGTCAGCCAATATCTGACAAATAAGCGTCTCACCTAGCCTTGAGGAGGTCAGCCATTGTTGGTGGCACAAGCTACCAGGCATAAGTTCACCTTCGAGCCTACCACTTGGGTCTTTTGAGTTGCGTCTAAATGCATAAGAGAAGTCTACTAGGAGGCTTAGCACAGTGGTGGACGCCTGTAGTCCCAGCACTCTGGGAGCTGAGGCAGGTGGATCTCTGTGAGTTCAAGGCAAACCTGGCTACAAAGCGAGTCTAGGACAGCCAAGGCTACACAGAGAAACCCTGTCTCAAAACAAACAAACAAACAATAAAAAGGAGTAAAACAATAAAATCTAACAGGAGTAAGCCTAGGCTTCTTCTTTTTCTTCTTTTTCTTTTTTATTTATTTTGTTTTTATCTGGATTTTTTTTTTTGTGTGTGTAGCCCTGGCTATCTAGGCTGGTCTTGAACTTACAGAGATCTGACTGCTTCTGCCTCTCAAGTGTTGAGATTAAAGATGTGTGCCACCACTGTACAGCTGAACTCTTAGCTTCCTAACATAAGAAGTAATGGACAAGGCAAATGGCTCTTTCATGTATGTATGTATGTATAATTTGTTTTCTATTGAGATAGGGTCTCTATAAGCCTGGCTGGCTGGGAAGCCAATTCTCTTCTCTCCGTTTATGTGTCCTTGTCATCTGACTCTTGGATAGGGGACATGTATCATAATCCTGTGTGACCCGGGCAATAATTGTGGAAGCACACTCACCCTTTTCCACCTATGGTGGCAGTAACTTCGGAGTGGACTTGGATCTCATCAGCTGCCATTTTAATGTTCGTTTCGTCTTCTTTTACACTTTCAACCATAAAGCTGTAGAGTGACAACACAGACTCAGTTGTGCTTTATGGAAACACCCTGGCACTCATGAGAAATACCTGTGAGGCAGGGAGTTCTCTACAAACTGCTCTGCCAGTCCTATGGCTCCTGAGTTCCCCTTTCCACCCAGTGGTTTAAGCTCAAGAAATCCTGGTTGTATTTTTCAGAGAGAGTTTCAGTGGGAGTTACGTATGCTGCTCCATGAAAGGATGGCTGTCACTGAGATTGTTGTAGGTTGAGTGTGAGAGTTCTCAATAAGCAGCTTGTTTGTCCAAAGAGCCAGAGAATTGTCAAGGAAGCACTTACCTGAGCCCAAGATCTTTGTTTTTCGTCTTAAGCACACCTTCAAGTGAGTCTTTGATTTTGTCTGGGACTACTTCATTCACCTTTTCCTGGATGGAGTCTTTCACATTGCTTACATCGTCAACTACACCATCCAGAGAATTTGTGATATTGGAGAGGTGTTTCTTCAGGAGTCCTTTTTCAGAGCTCTTGTCACCAAGGTTTAGTGAGCTGCCCAGGATTGGGAGGCCGCCCGAGAGTACTTTGCTGAGACCACCAGAGCCTTTGGAGTCGGATGAGGGCTTTGCAGAATCATCGCCTTCTTTACCTAGGCCAAGGCCACCTGCCGCTTGTAGGAGGTTCTCGATATTTAACAATGAGAGCAGTTCAGTGTCCTCTGCCAGGCTTAACACATCCCCGATTAGGCCTCCCATTTTAACTTCCTCACACTTCACCATGTCCTCGATTTGTTGGGGAAGAGTGCCCATGAGATCTGAAACAAATCGAGACAGTTCAGTGCTAGCATCCTTCCTCTCTGGAGGATATCATCTTGGAATATAGGCACATTGGGACTGTGTCTTCTTCCTTCCAAGTTCCATTTCTGTCCCTGCCCTAGTTAAGAGGAGCCCTGTGACAGAGAAGCCCGCATTGCCTGTTGTAGCTCCTATTAGCCTACACTGATGCTAACTTGTAGAATTTTTGCTTCAAAGATACTTGAGCATGGAGTGAGGGTGGAACCTCATTTATGTTTGTCACTTTCCTTCTGTCTTCCTTCTGGCCATTTATTTATTTATTTGTTTTAGATACAAGTCATATATATGTATAAAGTACATATATAAGTATATACTTTCTACTCAGTGGTCCAGACTCCCATGCAACCAGTATGCTGTGGATTCTGGACTGGTCCCATTAAGGCATGAGCCATCAGGCCAACGTTATTTCACCAATTAACCAATTAATTAATTATCCCTGGTGCCTAGTCCTCAATATCAGCTGTGGTCTTTCGATTCTTTGTGGCTTCTCTGCTCCTCATATTCTGTGTTTGTTGGAGGTTTATAATTGGATGTGGTGCATGGCTTCTAGATGAAGCATATGATTGATGATATCCATTGTAAGGTGGAGGGACTACAGGAGTAGGAGGGCAGCGAAGAGACAGCAAAATTACTTTATTCTTAGGCCATTATGTCCCAGTGTCCTCTGCTCTTTTGATTCATTTTCACCTCATTAGTAGTTGAAGATTCTTCTCACTTGAATGTGAGAAGGACTTAGAGAAGTCTTAGAGAAGGACTATGTGTGTGCCTTTGCATTTGACTGATGGCCAAGCAGGGTTATATTTTGGGTGTCCCTCAACTGATATAAACAGGAAATGGGGATGAAATTCCAGGCTAAGTAGAGAGCAGGCTGAGAGTCAGCCATGGATTGGAGAATTGTGAGTCCCTAGAACGCTGCTTCTGAGTGCCTGTGTTGCTGGCTGCAATAGGAATTGCATAGAAAAATGTCAGTGAAGTGTTTGTTGTGCTCAGTCTTGCTGACTGTAGAGCTGAAGCTGATCGGACCAAGGGACATTTCTGGCTCAGCAGAGCTGCAATTGAAGGGAGTCCCTGAGTGCATCTTTTACAGTGTAGTGCTACTTTTTTGTTCAAGACTGCCTCAACAACTGGACTTTTGAGGAGTGTTAGCTGGTCATTGTGCTCGTACAGTGGCTTATAGCCTCCATCTTCATCTTGTTATGCTCTGATGCAGGGCTTTGCTGGACCACTGAGCTGCTAAGGAAAGTGAAATTGTTTCTTATTGTTCTTCTTTCGCCCACGAGTCCTCCCCACTTTCTGTTTCTGAAGCAGAATCACATCTTTGTCAGCCTGTAACTACCCAGGTTTCTGTGCTCTCAGCCTTTGAGTGTCTTCTGGAGTAGAATTTCTCATTTCCCGGGCTACTATGTGCCTCAGATGGGGGATAAAGTGGGAGCTGCGAAGGAGCATGGTGGTCAAGGGCTTGCAGCAGATTCTAAACTTGCTGCTTCCTGGTGCTGAAAACCAGGCTGAAGGTTAACCAACTATGGGAGTCTAGGCCAGCTTGGGGCCCAGCAAAGAGGAACCCTGTATTGTGACACAATATCTAGGTGGTAAGAATCAACCAGAAGGTAAATAGTTAGACAGCCTTTTGGGTTGGACAGTTCCCTTGTCCAGGATAGCATAGGTCTGTCCTGGACTAACTGTGGGAACCTTACAAGCGGGCAGTTGGATGTGCTAGATTCAGCCCTGTGCAGTGCCAGAATTTCTAGGTATGATCCAAGCTTCCTTTTTTCTGTAGGCACCAAGCAGATGCTACAGGACCATCATGTTTAAAATCACTTGTTCAGGAGGCTGACTCGACTCCCTCTGAGCTCAGAAATGAGCAGCCTATGGCAGGTGTGGGCCAGGCTCAAGGTGAAAGCTGAAATGAGTCTTACTTACAGTCTTGGAGTTTGCCACTGGAATAGAAGTACCTGGCTGCAGGAGAACACTTGCCAGTTTTGGAGGCAGCTGAATGCTTTTGGGAAGGCAAACCTTGATGGCTGGAGGAATCTTTTATACTTGGTAGTATAAGAGGGCGAGGATTTACAGGGGGCACGGGAGCAGCGAGATTGTTGTCTGTTAAGGAAATTCCCACCGGATCAAGTGTTCCTGCTTGGATGCTCAACATGATGGCCAAGGCCCGGAGAGCCCACATCTTTGTGGCTGAAACCTGCAGAGGAGAAATGTGTCACACATCACATATGTGATGGGCCTTAGAGCTGCCATGAGACTTTGTGTAGGTGGCTCCTTGGCTCCTGTAAAAGCATGTCATTCACATTCTTGACAGTGCAGTTTCTCCTCAGTTCACGGGAATTTGGTCTGATACATGGCAGTAAACATGCTGAGGAAGCAACTCCTTCCTCCGTTTTCATCATGGATAAATGTGCTGTCAGGATTGGCTGCAACATGTCAATGTGGGCAGAGCCCCGCCCCGAGGTCTAAGTCCCTGTGGACATATCTCTCATGTGCCATGCGCAGCCACACGTCTTTGGTGTTATCACAGACATAAATTTCACTGCCTCTTTTGTTTTTCCGTCCTGAGCTTGTTCACAGGACTTGCCCATGTTACAGCATTGCTCTACCACTGAGCTATGTCCTCAGCCTCTTGGCTGGGTCCCGGTCACCCTGGGACCTGAACATGTCAGGTTTGGTGTCCTTAGCTACAATCTCAGTTCTCTTCCCCTAAGTACCTTCTTAGTTAGTAGTTGGTGTTGGACCTTTCCTGAGATGCCGCATCTCAGTGTGCCAGCAAAGTAGCCATTAGGTCCCCTTCCCGCCCGGGCTTCCCTTGTCTTAGGTGGCAGAACTCCCTCACGGTGGATCTGAGCTCTGCTGGTGACTTCTGGAGACTATTTTCTACACCACCTCCTCAGATTCCTCACTTACCCTTACTCTCTCAGTGCTTCTGTCTTTGACATTTACTTTTATGCATTTGTTTATTTATTTCTGAGACAGGGTCTTACTCTGTAGTCCCAGCTTTTCTGAAGCTTGCTTTGTAGACCAAGCTAGCCTTGATATCCCACAGATCTGTCCTCTTCTGTCCCTTGAGTTTGGGATTGAAGCTGTGGACCAGCATGCCTGGCCTGTCTCTAAATGTTCTAATTATATTTCTTCATAACTTTCCATTGGGGTTTATGCAAAGTGTTCCAAGTCATGTGTGTGTAAGTCATAGGACAACTTGTTTAAGGTGTTTCTGTCTTCCTGCCATGTGAGCAACTTCTGTGAAATCTTGACTCTAAGATAAGTAAATGAAATTTGGGTTTATGAAATTGGAACCCTTCACATGTGTTCCTGATAAAAAGAACCATTCTCCAAAACTTCAGCCATACCCCCAACTTTACAGAAGCACACTCAACTTGACATAAAGGAGGCTCCTGTGGCATCACTGCCCAGCAAATGCCTTCTCTACCTGTGACTGGTAATAACTTGACATTATTGAAAAATATAATCTGTAATTCCTCTCCTTTCATCTTTCAAATCTTGCCATGTTCTGTCCTCTTTGCCTGCTCCAGCAGTCTGCAGAAGCTGTGTCTTCCCAGAGTAGAGCTGGCCTATGTCTGAAAAGTTATGAATCCTAGAGAATGGCTGTGATGGGTCAGGTTGGTACCAGGTACAAATATTAGCAAAAGCAAGTTCTCCATTGCCATCACCACAAGAAAGTGGTTCCAGTAAATTGAAGCCAACATCAAGTCCTTGCCTTGAATAAATTGCCTTTTTGGAAAATAAATTTCACCACACTTTCCCCAGATCTCTCACTTTCCTCTCTGACCTCTGGGAAGTCTAAATAACATGGCACTCATCTAAACACAGTCTAAGGCAAAATGAAGTGTGTATGCTTATTAATGAGTTCATGCTATGCTGACCTGATGGAGCTCTCTGTGAGTTCCAGCAGTTAGTTTCCCATTTTCTTAAAACAGTCTCATAGGTTCTTGTAATCCACCAGCTCATGCTAGGCCCTGTGCCCTGGAGTTCAGCATCAGAACAGCATTCTAGATTGTCAGTCATAAACCCTAGTCATCTGTCCAGAGGTGACCTGTCCCATGCTCATCGCCATCCTCCCTGCCCTTCTGTGTGCATTCTCCTGGGCAGCCCTTACCTTGCCCGTTGTGTAAGGGTCAACGTCTTCAGAAGCTGTTTTTCCTCCTGCTCCTGCTTCTGCCTGTTAACCTCCAAGCTGCATCCTATTTTTATAGTCTATCCAGTGTCACCTAGAAAGGTCATCATGGAGGAAGGGGCCAGATCTAGAGGAGCTGATAAGACAGGTGTGATGCAGTCTGCTTTCCAGAATCAGCAGCTACTCTTTGTTCTTGTTTTCGTTGGCACGTTCCTCTGCCTGTCAGAGCAGGTCTGGGGATGGCAGGTCAGGCACCTCACAGATGGAGTGTGTAATGCCCCTCGGGGCTTGATGGTTCTTTGTGTTCTGTGTTCAACCTTGGAATGGGGAGCAGCCAATGAATTGAGCTCATTAACGTGTTTATGGAGTGTATTGTAAGGAGGTTTATCTGGCCCCTTCTTACTTTTCATCCCCATAAGCTTTCTTATGTTTTGCTGCTATGTGTTAATTAAGATGTTGGATGACTACATACAATGTCAAGATGGATTTGGCTTTTCTCCATATCCTCACCAGCATGTGCTGTCACTTGAGTTTTTGATCTTAGCCATTCTGATGGCTGTAAGATGGAATCTTAGAGTTGCTTTGATTTGAATTACCCTGATGACTAAAGATGTGGAACCTTTCTTTAAGTGTTTCTCTGCCATTTGATATTCCTCTGTTGAGAATTCTCTGTTTATCTCTGTACCCCACTTTTTAATTGGATTATTTGGTTTTCTGGTGTTTAACTTTTTGAGTTCTTTGTATATCTTGGATATTAGCCCTCTGTGAGATGTAGGGTGTTGGTGAAGACCTTTTCCCAGTCTGTAGGCTGTTATTCTGTTCTATTGATAGTGTCCTTTGCTTTACAGAAGCTTTTCAGTTTCATGAGGTCCTACTTAGTAATTATCGATCTTAGAGCCTAAGCTGTTTATTGCTCTGTTCAGGAAGTTGTCTGCTGTGCCAGTGAGTAGGAGGGCAAACTTGTACCATTTTGGAATCAATCTGGTGGTTTTTTTTAGAAATCTTGGAATAGTACTACTCTAAGACCCAGCTATACCACACCTGGGCATATACCTGAAAGATGCTCCACCATGTAACGAGGACATTTGTTCAACTATGTTCATAGCAGCATTTTTTTTTTGTAATAGCCAGAATGTGGAAACAACCTAGATGTCCCTCAACTGTAGAATGGCTACAGAAATTGTGATACATTTACACAATGGAATACTACTCTGCTATTATATACAAAGAAATCATGAAATTTGCAGGCAAATGGGCAGAACTAGAAAAGATCATCCTGAGTGAGGTAACCCAAAATCAGAAAGACATGCATGGTATATACTCACTTATAAGTGGATATTAACAATATAACACAGGATATCCATACTACAATCCACAGACCCAAAGAAGCTAAATAACAAGGAGGACTCTAGGGAAGATGCTTAATTCTCATTCAGAAGGGCAAATAGAATAGGCACTGGAAGCAGTTGAAGAGAGGGAACAGAACGGGAGCCTACCATAGATGTCCTCTGAAAGACTCCACCCAGCAGGAGTTAAGAGCAGGTGTTGACACTCTGGAAATCAATCTGGAGCTTCCTCAGACAACCAGGAATAGTGCTTCCTCAAGATCCAGCTATACCATTCCTAGGCATATACCCAAAAGAGGCTCAAGTACACAATAAAGACATTTGCTTAACCATGTTTGTAATTGCTTTATTTGTAATAGCTAGAAGCTGAAAACAGCCCAGATGCCCCTTAACTGAGGAATGGATACAGAAATTGTGGTACATCTACACAATGGAATATTACTCAGCAATAAAAAACAAGGAAATCATGAAATTTTCAGGTAAATGGTGAGATCTGGAAAAGATCATCCTGAGTGAGCTATTCCAGAAGCAGAAAGACACACACGGTATATACTCACTCATATGGACAAATAATATAGGATAAACCTACTAAAATCTGTACACCTAAAGAAACTAATCAAGAGGGAGGACTCTTGCTAAAATGTTCAATCTCTCTCCAGAAAGGCAAAGAGGATGCACATCAGAAGAAGAAGAAAACAGGGAACAAGTCAGGAGTCTGACACAGAGGACCTCTGAAAGGCTCTGCTCTGCAGACTATCAAACAGATGTTGAGACCTATGGCCAAACTTTGGGCAGAGAGGAGGGAACCTTATGAAAGAAGTGGGAAACAGTAAGATCTGGAGAGGACAGGAACTCCACAAGGAGAACAACAGAACCAAAAAATCTGAGCACAGGGGTCTTTCCTGAGACTGATACTCCAACCAAGGACCATGCATGGAGATAACCTAAGACCCCTACATAGATATAGTTCAGGGTCCGAGTGGGTTCCATTGTAATAGGAACAGGGACTGTCTCTGACATGAACTGATTGGCCTGCTCTTTATTTACCTCCCCCTGAGGGGAGAGCAGCATTACCAGGCCACAGAAGAAGACAATGCAGCCACTCCTGATGAGACCTAATTGACTAGGATCAGAAAGAAGGAAAAGAAGACCTCCCCTGTCAGTGGACTTGGGAAGGGGCATGTGTTCAGAGGGGGGGAGGAAGGGAGGGATTGGGACGGGAGGAGGGAGGGAACCATAGGGGGGATACAAAGTGAATAAAGTATAATTAATAACAAATTAAAAAAAGCAGATGTTGAGACTCATAACCAAACTTTGGGCAGAGTTCAGGGAGTCTTAAGGAAGAGTAGAGAGATAGAAGGACCCGGAGGGGACAGGAACACCATAAGGAGATCAACAGAGCCAACAAATCTGGGCCTAGGGTGGCCTGCAGAGTCTGGTGCACCAACCAAGGACCATGTGTGGACAGGATCCAGGCTCCTTGCTCAGATATAGCTGATAGACAGCTCATTCTTCATCTGCATCCCTAGTAAGGGAGCAGAGGTTATCTCTGACATGGACTTTGTTACCAGCTCTTTGATCACTTCCTCCTTGCAGGGTGGCCTTGTCAGGAAACTGAGGAAGAGGACCCAGAAAGTCCTCATGAGACTTGATGGGCTAGGAGTCAGATGGTTGGAGAGGAGGGGGCGCCCTTTC